CCTACCGCTTTTGTGGGGTTTTCCTGGAGAAAAACTTTCAAAACGAAACAAACAAGAAAGCCGAAGTGTTTATCCGCGTTTGACGTTGAGCATGCGCAGTGTTTAACCGGATACCATGTTTTTATGGTATCCGGTTATGGATTTGGCGAGAGCCCCTCGTCGTGCTCCGTTGACTGCGCGTAAGAAGGGCTCTGGGTACGAGAATGGGCCTTTGCTGCTTCGCCTCCTTCCTCAATAGGCCCTGGAGACGAGGTTGGACAATTTCAAGGTAAAAGGCATCCTCGGTCCCAGGGCCTCACGGCTGATACTGCGTTGCCGGCTATGGTTGCCGGAGGCCCTGGCGAAAACCAAAATGAGAAGTGATTTGATTGGTCGCATGAAAACAATGGAATGCGGAAATTGAACACGAACTTGTACTAATAAATATGGCTGACTATAGGAGTAGATAGGAGTATATTAACTCTTCAAAGAAGACGAAGAGTCGTTTTGGTCGTTGAAATCTGCTGTCTATCAATGGAAATTTTATTTTTAATATAAAAAATGTTGGATGTTGTGTCACAATGTATTAAAAAGCTGCACAAAATTGGACATTGGATTATTTAAAGATTGAAATCGCCGAAGCCGAAGGGACGTACATTTTATAGTTTTATATACGAGATTTAATTATATACAGAGTATAAACAAAGACAGGCGAAAGGCTATGCGAGAAAAACTGTACCGTTAATTGTACAAATCTACAAAAATTGTGAGTGATGTCTTGAATCTTTCAATTACAAATGAGAAAATCCTGATCGTGAATGAGTGTCTGTGTGGTTGTTCAATGCAAGAGGGGTCCATGCCATACATAATATTATATTAAATATTGTATATTATAAAATATAAATTTTTTTAATATACTATATTTAATAGACATACTTTATTGATTTTATATCAATTTCATCAAAGGCTCTTAATTTATGTAAAAATATTGTATTTTATGTTAAATGTATTTAATAATGACATATTGTATTTTAATACTATTTAATAATGACAAAGTGATTAATATAATGGCTGGAAATGTTCGTTATTCCACCTTGTTTTGCCTTAAATTTTATGCAATATATAGCTTATTAATTTATAGGCTTATCAATGTTTTTTTACAATTGACAAATTATATTTTTAATACTGCAACTTTGCTACACTGGTGATGAGCCTCCTAATTTTATGCTGTATACATACATTCAGTATTAAGTAATGTGTCAACATCTGGGAAACTAACTTCTGAATCTCTTACATGCAGTTGACATAATTTTTATAAATTATAGTGCTAGATTTCAAGGTTTAATTGGTCACCATAGGCACAGGAGGAAAGTTTTGAAATTTAAAATTGAGGAGCACTTCATGTCAACAGCACCAAATTTATAATTTGTAAATTTTTGAAGAGAAATTGGGTAAGGCAGAGCAAGGATCAGGTAGGGGGGGGGCTGTAGCTCCCCTGTGTGGAAATTCTAGCCCCTCCCCAATCAGGGAAGTGGAATGCACTGGGAAAAATTATGTTTTGTAATGACCTTGTTTTGTAGTCCTGGTAAGTGCACTGTTACAGACAATAAATTCTGCACCATTTCATGAGAGCCAAAAAATTCAACATTTTCATGTGTGAGCATAAGTTGAACATACAAAACAATAATTTTACTGTTTGAAAGATTATAGCCCCCTGTTGGGAACCTGATATTCCTTGTCGGGGAACCTGATATTCCTTGTCGGGGACTTGATATTCCTTGTAGGGGAACTCCTGGAGCATCCAGCCTCCACACACAAGCACATTGGTACCCACACACCTCCATTTCCTACACCACTGCAATATTAAAGCACAGCATGGATCATAAAGCTAGCTGTTATTTATTTTTTACAGTATCTTTATTAACACACCAAATTTTCATAGAGGAAATTGTAAGAATAAATCATTATTTATATCAATGACACAAAATTGTTTATTTTGTTCATGTAATTTCTTTCTTTCTCTCAATTGATGAAATTTCTTTCTCTGAGTTGGTGCAACTTCTTTCTCTGAGTTGATGAAGAAACAAACTTCCCAACATACCAATCCTTTCATAGCAAGGCCTGAAATCCTTCCTAAAGTAGTAGTACAATGTTTATAAATTAAAACAATCTTTAGCCAAAAATTTTAGGCCAATCATAATTTAACAGCAACATGGATAATTTTATGATTGAAAATGGCTGGCAAGAAAATACATATTTCAAGTCATATATATGTATTAAACTGTACAATATGATACTAGCTTGTAGTATGCAGTCACACATGATACCTTACAGGTAGTTGTATATCCTACAAACAATCGTTATCTGGGGATACCAAGATTAAGGTGGGGGGAGAGGCAAGGGGGGTGATAATATTTCAGGTTTTTATGCTCATTCTCTCTGTCTAAATGCCGCATTTTACATGTGCCAAATCTAATGTGAATTTACATGGTTTGACTCAAATAATAAAGTTTGACTCAAATAATAAAGTTTGACATTTTGATTTAAATGTTGAATTTATGTACATACCGGTACGTAGTAAACATATGTAACTTATACATTTGTCCAAAGTGGCAAAGTAATTACTTTGAAATTATACCCACTCTCCCCTTGATGAGCAAAAAATCCCGGCAGCTTTATTCCTGGGTTAGGGTTAGGGGTTAGTGGTTAGGGGGGTGGGGGTTAGAGGTTAGGGTTAGGGTTAGGGTGGGGGTTAGGGTTAACAACCCAATACTTATTGGGTTGTTAAGCTTAACAATTACAATACTATATTGTTGATAACGCAAGGAGCGCCTGAAATTGTCTGACATAAGATAGTAAAGTACAATAGATAATCTGATTAACCCATTGAGCAGTAGCACTCTCACATTGACCAGTACAATCATCTGGCATGTTAAGCTGAGTAAAATAATTTGGTAGCACTTAAAAAGTTGAACAAACTTTTCTAGACTTGGCACATGTAAAATGCAGCGTTTAGACCGGACGTATTAAACAGAATATATGTTGCCTGTATGTGTACAGTGTTGCAGATAACCATTAATATAGCAAAGAAAGAATATTGAGAAACAACCAAATATATCTCAGTATCACACTCACCAGTAACAAGATTGTGCTTCGTCCACAACAATCGCTTTAAATTGTCTGTATATTTCGTCGATTATAATAAAAATTCAAAAACTTTCATGTTCTCCAATTGATTGCTGTCCCAGAGGAGGTTGGACAGCTAATTAGGCGAATCTGGGCGAATCTCTCGACCAATCAGATTACGCCATTTTCCTAATGCTCGCATGAAGCTTTTGGCATCGAAAATTTACATAGGGCTCATAAATATCGACTTTTTTCATATTGTTATGCACATTTTTTTGGAAATTTCACGCGATACTACTTTTACAACAGTGAATCTATCCATTGGAACGGTATCTTGAAAGGTAAGCGTTATTTTCCAGTTTATTTTGACCTCTCACTTTAGGCACTATGCCGTCGCGATGTAATTTAATGGCGTTTCTGTCAACAATCTTTGAAGACAAAAATCTCAAATTTCCACGGTTCGATTTCGCTATTTTTTTCACGATTAGTTAAACAAAAGTATGATCTTTAATTCTATCCAGCCGGCCCCCCTCGGTCCCGCAACCGTTTTCGAGATATTCACCGTTGAATATAGCCCTCTGTAAAATATGTTGCCTTGTCACTCAGATCGATAATGAACTGCTATTACTCGCTTTTTTCTAAAGAAGTGTGGTATATTATAGAAGTTTCGATATATTATGGATTGTATATATTGCAGTTAAAGTGTGCAAATAATTAAAGCTCTTCCGTAACAATATTTTACAAGTGAAATTTATTTTTTGGCTGATGTTTTAGATTTGAGATTCGTGATTTTGGCTGGATTCTATTTTTGTCAATGATTTTGTGTGCAAGAATTTAGCCTGCGAGCAGGCTCTCTGGGGAAAGAGAGCCTGCAAGGATCTAACCTGAAGTTCAGGCCCTAATTTGAAATAGGGCCTGACACAAAACCTGTCTAGACCGTGGGACGCCCACATGTTATTTTTAGACACACATGCAATATGATTGACAAGTGTTGTAGATTTTGTTACACAAAAAAATTATATTCTCATGAACATGTCCCCAGAGCATTTTGCTTTTTAATTAAACTTAAAAATTCAAGGTACTTTTATATAATTAAGAGTCAGTTTATCTATTTAACCGAACAGGCGAACAGCAAACAAAGATTTAATTAGTCAGTTCTGTGCACGGCTTGACTGCCAAGCTTTCTCAAGGTCTCAACTCGCTGGACGCGGATATACTCTAACGACTATAAACGGGCTAATAACAGCAACAATTAAATTCTCAATCACACCACGAAGAAGGCGATGTAGCTCAGAAAACAACGCCGGTAGGACCTGATATTAGAAATAAGACTTTTGCCGGCGAAGCAATTTGGCAGAACATCTTGGCTGTCAACAACAAGCTTTCGAATACATGACTAGTTTGGCTGTTCTTTCAGCGTCGTGTGTGTCCAAAATTCGTCAAAGATTTTGATGAAGCCCTTTCAAAATACTGTTTGTTTGATTTATTTTCTGCCATAAAGCATAAAAGAAAAGAAATTCGAAGAAATCGATAATGGAATTTGTTACGTTCGTTTGACCTTTATATTTTAAATAACCAATCAAAATCCTTCATGATGCTGATCAACCAATCAGATTTCCCGTCCACCAGGTGGACGGGAGTCCCACACTTTAGATAGGTTTTGTGTCAGGCCCTATTCTGTGATAGGGCCTGAACTTCAGGTTAGCAAGGATCCTTTGATGATTCGGTGCATGCGTCCAATATTTGGACGCAGTGCTCTGATTGGTTGATAACTGATTCATATGAAGTGATTGACAAGCTTCCATAAACTTGCACTTCCCGTTTGTAAAACCGAGCAACGCAAAGCTTCGGAATGGCGGCAATGTAGAGATAAAAGTGTCATGTATTTTGATCCTGGTTGACTTTTTACTGTAAATTAATATAGTATTCATATAAAGACGAATACTAAAAGCTTAATTGCATGCTTTATTGTGTCCTTGGCTTGTCTGACTCCTAAGCTAAGAATAATTCTTGAGAAAGACTGCACAAATTCGCAAACCGAAACCTAGGGACAAGGCATTATATCGCCTCTCTTTTATGAAACAATATTGGGAATTCTGATAATATTCAGTGCATATTGTGTGTATTAAGCTTGTTTTACAATGTTATACTGACTATTTAATATTTATAAGTATGCGGCGTTACAGGTAAAATGTACAGTAATTTACTCGTCACTTTGTTTACAATAATTATCACATGCATGTTTACTGCAATTCCACTTTTTGTTGCAAAATTTGAACTATAAACATATTATTAAATTATGTCCAATGTCCATGGTATATCATATATGTCTATGTCTCACCGAAGCCATAAATTTCAGTAAGTTATATTATTACTATATATAGACTGTATACAGTGTATATTATATATTGCAGCACGAAGCAATTCCAAATAACTGAATTAGTTAGCGGGTAATATACAACTTTAAACTTACTGTGCCTACAGGAGAAACACATACAGATTGTAATAAAAAGTACAACTTGATGTATTACTCTGTAAAACCTCGAGCCGTTTTAACTTTTTTAGTATGCCACAGTGGCGGTCTGTATACGAAACTATTAACGAATTTGAAACGAATCGGTTTATGTTTACAATATCGTAGTGTATTCCGGTCTGCGCTGATTGGTTGTTATTAATTGACCTGTGACATCATAATTGAAGGGCGGCACGCAATCATCATAGGGATCCTTGCAGGCTCTCTTTCCCCAGAGAGCCTGCTCGCAGGCTAGCAACAACCAGAATAACTACTCATCCACCTGTTTCAAAAATGGCTGGTAAAAGTTAACCCTGTTACCCTGGTTTAGATGCTAAATTTGTCCCTCAAAATTTTCTCCCACTTGTTGCCAAGGCTATGCCTGTACTTCATGCTGGTCAAAAAGACAATCTGATTTATCACACTGCTCGATGCTTTGGAAAACAACGCCATGGAGATGTTGGTCTGATGTCATTGGATAGAATTCCCTTTATAGGAGTGAAGGCCCACTTGGCCTTTTTTTAACAGTATTTTGTAATGATGTTACACAACTAATTCAGATAAAGTTTGAGAAATGGTGGTTGTTTCAATGATAAGCCCCAGAGAGGGGGGTGGGGTCGGGCATATGTGGGCATTTGATTTTTTGAGCAAATTTTCAATCAAATGCCCCACTGTTAGGTAATAAGTATTGGTCAAACACCCCACCATTTTGCAATAAATTGCAATAAATACTATATTAATAAAAGTCATTTTGGTTCAAATTGCCCAAACTCAGGCCCAAAATGCTAAATAAATCAAAATCCCCAGAGTGGGGATGCAATTGATGATCAAATACCCCACATATGCCCACCCCCCTCTGGGGCTTGACATTGATAGGTGCAATTATATGCAGGGTTTTTTTGTATTCTCATGTAATGTACCACAAAGTATCAGCAGCATGTTATTGTGGGACCTTTGATCAATATGTATATAAATACTCATTAGACATATTTTTGTTTTATTGTTGCATTAATTTTAATGAAAAATAAATATTACTCACAAAGTTGGTCAAGTGAATGTACAAACTATTTATTTCTTCATTTAGTACAGCACATGTTACAATTATGTACTTGTCTTAATTGCATGAGTGTGCATGACAGACTTTTTTTATTTTAATTGTGCACACCCACTTATGATTAACCTAGTTTTTGTTTATGAAAATCTAAAAAGTTACCTAATTGAAATAAGATCATTTCTACAACTTGCCAAACCTAGTCAGTTACAATTATATCACAAACATCTGTCAACGTACACTCATGCTCTCCCTTACCACTTCAGTCTCCAACTCACCACGTCGCTTTATGAAAATTTTTTGATAAAATCCTATTTTAAAAAACTCAACCCTATACTATGTTGAACATAGACCTCTAAGATATCTCCTGTGGCAATTAGTCGGTGCAAATACTCGCATAGTTGAGAAGCAAGATAACCAATGTGTGTCCATCCAGTTCCATAGTCTACATCAAGTGCAATTGCTCTTAGGTCCATTGGATTCAATGGCTCTGCCCGTATTCTTACATTCACTGGTTTATCTTGTCCATGAAGAGCAAGGTATGCTGTTGATGTTGGTAATTTTTCTCATGAGCAGCACCGATGCACTTGAATGGTACAGCATGGGTGATTTCGTCCTTGTCACTTTCATCCTCATCACTTAACTGGTCACCACTTTCTGCCCTATCACCTTCATTCATTACCATATCCATGCTGACCAGGTTCAAGACCAGCCAACCACTCAAGTAGATCCTTAGTTTCTACAAAATCGTAACAAGAAAATTTTTATTTTATTATTTTGTACATAAGCTGTAATCTCTAAAATTAGAAATCTAATGCAAAAGTGTGTCACTATTTGTAATATTTATAGAACAACACACAAATATGGCAATATTTTACAGATGAAAATTGAAAAATATCACTATTGTATGCACATATATGTAAAAATCTATCCACAACTAGATACAAAAAAAAACAAAGCGGATAATAATTTGACTAAATAACAAGGTAACTGTAATGCATTGTAGTATACCAACCTTAAATATTGCGCTTGTTTTCATCACGTTGATGATACATGGAGATTTAACGTCATCCAAGTTAGAAGAGCCTCGCTACTGGGAATATAAACACAATTCCTTCGCTCAGACGAATTATTTATCAAGCTAAAATGACAACATGTCCCATGCAAATATTTAAAAAAGGTAAACTTGGTATAGTAAAACACAAGTCATAATGATGATCGCAACAATACAGCAATAACATGCTGTTTCTTTTCACAAAGTATCGCAGCCTGACACTCTTGTCGTTCGAAAGCTTCCATATTGGTTTAGTCAGAGAGATGTTCACTCCTCGACTGTCAACAGTCAATGAAGTCACGCGCGGAATTAGGCACTCAATACCCATGATGCTTTGCGGCCTGCTGTCCAACCTCCTCTGTTGCTGTCCGTATACAATGACTCTCCCAAACTACACATTGTATCCTTCGATCATGGTTTGGCTAGCCGGCAAACTTCAAAGGGATTAGGCTACGGCGGCAAAATATGTTGAGGATCAAAGGAAAAAGATGTCACGTGACGGTTTTAGTGCATGGCTTGAGAACAATTACTATAAGATTATAGCCCCGTTTACACGACAGTCATTTTGGGCACGGCACGCTTAAATTTTGGCACGCGGACCCATTTTTTTGGGCACGGCACTCTTAATTTTTGTCGTGTAAACGCGCAAAATTAAGGGTCCGCGGGCCCTAAATTTTAAGCGGGCCGAGACCTCCTCAGGAGGTAGTCTCGGCCCGCTTAAAAATGGGTCCGCGGACCGAAAACTTGTTACGCACGCGTTTTGTTTCTCGCATTGCAAAAATATTGCGTCTGTACAAACAAAATATCGAGGGAAAATGCATGTGCATGGTCAGACGAAAAGCCATATACAAGATGACTAGGTGGTCATGCATAAAGAAGCAATATTCAACTGGTATTCTTGCTACACTCAAGTCAAAGCGAAGAGAAAGTGAACTGTATTTAAGTAGTTTAAGCAATGCTGATATATGTGATGGTGAAGATTATTGTTATTTCATAATTAACAATCATTTGCCAAGGGCGAAGTGCTATCGGTCAACATTCACCATAATCATGCAATGTGCCAATGAGCCTGCAGCCGAATCATTGTTGTAGTATAAATTAATTTTCAACGAAATAAAACAGAATATCTAAATATTAGTTTAAGTATTCTGAAATTAATCTGTTGTCGCTGCTTGTCAGCCAGTTAAGTTTATACGAGGTTACTGACGCAGTGTTTCTTGTTCGCACTGTGCACGCTTTCAAAATGGCATCCTATATTTTTATAATATGAATTTATTGCTTTATTACAAAGTTGTTTATCGCCATGGAGGTCAATGAAATATCATGATCTATATATAGCTTAGAAAATTAAAACTCTTCAAGCACCAACAAGTAGAGATTTTGCTAGGTTTATATCAGTTTATAAACTTACAGTTGAAAAAATACATGCATGCATGGAAATACACAAACTTTGTATTTTTTACGAAAATATTAATAATTGTCAGGAAATACTTTAATACAAATTTTCGAAAACTTAATCTCAATAAAAATATAGTTTCTGCTTATTTTACTCGGGAAAAAGCTGAGAGAATTGGTAAAAATGAAATGTTAATTTAATGCTCGGAATATTAGTTTAATACACTTTTCGCTACACCAAAAAGTTATGGCTGAATGTAGATTAGATATTTCATGTCAAGTCAAGGTGAATGTTAGAGTACCGTTCCCAGTTTAAGCGTGCCGAACCCAAAATTTTTAGAACAAAAATTTCGTCGTGTAAACGCAACTGGCGGACCAAAAAGCATGGGTCCGCGTGCCAAAATTTAAGCGTGCCGTACCCAAAATGAATGTCGTGTAAACGGGGCTAAGATGTGGGATAACCCAAAACTAATGTCAATATAATCCTTTTTAAAACAATTATTGTATAATAAATATATAGTATCAATTCAAGTAGACATTGATAAACTACCTATTATGGTTAATTAATATATATATTTTCACACGTATGTGAATTGCAATATGTTTACAAAACTGTTATATATCAGGATACTACAGATTACAAATAAGCTAAAAATTTAAAAATAGTAAAACATATGATCTGTCGGATTGATGATACATCTTAAGACTGATTTTCATATGTCGCCGACGTCGGCGATGCCCATTGTCGTTGATCATTGATGAGTAAAATCTTTTGTCTACGTTCTTCTTCACTAATCTCAAACAATGGCATCGCCGACGTCGGCAACATATGAGAATCAGGCTTTAACTGTCATATGATCTGCAGATGTTAGACAGTTCACACCAAAAACAACTCTACAAAATCTATACTCTACTGGCTTCACCTAATCTTCATGTATGTTGCCCACCCAAAGAAACCTCAAACAATCTCTGTCGGTGTTTTGCACGTTGAGACCGTAGGCATAGGGATGAAGGGTGCCAAGTTAGGAAATGCCACATATTTCGTCTTTGACAGAAGGTTCGGACTTTTATATCTGAAACACGGCGTCATTGACAGCACCGCGATGCTCATCAAATCGTGCACGTGACGCCTACCTACACTACTCTGCACTGGGCTCCCATGATGTTACATGCATTCTTCATCTCTAACAGAAAAGTGGGATAATTTTAGTCCTGATAGATACACAAACTTTAGTCCTGATATAGATAGTAGACAAATATGGACATATTCTAATTGCGCTAAACAGGGCTGGAAAAAGTATCGGAACCTGGGAACCTAGTTCCCAGAAATTTTTTTGAGTTGAGAGTTTTGCAGAAAATTTTCCAGAAAATATTTCAACATTTTGAGATAACTCTGTTTACTCAACTTACAAGTTACAACTATTCTACTTTATTTACACTGTACATGCTAACATCAGCAGCTTTTAAATATTTGACAGAAATTAATTCTTTTACCCACCCCTGCCATCACAATGACTGGTAAAATGGTAAATATATGCTCTGCAAAGTCTTCAATAAAATGCAAATTAAATAGTAAAACAAATAAAAGTGATGGAATAAATAAGATGATACGACACTTAGTTAAGCACTAGATCCTTACTATGATGTTTGTGATGTTATTCTGAGTGTGTATCCACACCGGGCAAGCTTGAAAAATATGCCTGGCCACGGTGTATGTGATATTTCGGAACTGAGTTTAGTTCCTTCGACATCAATGTAATCTAAAAATCATGATTTTTTGTGTTGGTGTTGTGTACCCAGGTGAATATGATGTTTGTGATGTTACTCTGAGTGAAAATCTCTGAGTGTGTATCCACACTGGGCAAGCTTGAAAAATATGCCTGGCCACAGTGGGAATCGAACCTATATGACCTTTGGAATACTAGATTACATTGATGTCAAAGGAACTAAACTCAGTTCGAAATATCACACGAAATATCGAACCGACCTGACCACGTAGCTCAGTTGGCAAAACATTGGGCTAGTAATCCAAATGTCGTAGGTTAGATTCCCATCGTGGCCAGGCATATTTTTCAAGTTTGCCCGGTGTGGATATACACTCAAAGTAACATCACAAACATCATATTCACCTTAGTACATAACACCAACACAGAAAAAAATCAAGATCCTTACTATTTGGTCACAACTATTGTGATGTACAAGCGTACGAAAACCAGCCTAAAGCCCATTATTGCTAAAGTACAAATAATACAATAATTATGCATTTATAATAGTTTTGTTTGTGGAAACACCACGTAAATTTATTACTGCAAAGCTTTCGATCCGTAAGCCCGGATCTTCATCAGTACTATCTTCTTCTTCTTCATAAATTTACGTGGTGTTTCCACAAACAAAACTATTATATATTTTATCGCCATGCAAAACATACAAAGAACTTAATTATGCATGTGTTTTGTTATTTTTGTAATTGTAACATTACAAATTTTACAGAAAATTTCTAGCCTTCGACCCAGGTTCCCAGAAAGAAAAAAAAATTTTCCACCCCTGGCGCTAAATGACGATCATAAGACGGCATAAATTATTCCTATACTCTATACGTGTTTAGCTCATAGACGACTGGCCAACCAACTTTCATACTGTAAAGTCACAACTGGCATTTTGTTATAGCTTACTCATTGGTGTACAAGGCTGCTATATATGTGTTAGGGAGCATTCATTTTTTAGCTGGGGGGGTGGGCCGGAGGAATTTGGGGGTGGGTCAGCCAATTTTGACATGCTTCAAAGGGGTGGGTCTTTTTATAGTTTTGGTATAAATGGAGGGGGTCATAAAAATAATCAGTGAAAAAATCACCAGTATAATTTTATAGAATTTGGAAATATTTGGATCAAGAATGGTAAAAAGGTCTAGAATCTATCAACTATCTCGTCATCTTTAACAATAAAGCAAAATTCATTTGACGCTCTGTTCACACAGTCCATAGGAAAACATTTCCATGACGTTCGTCAATTGACCTCGTTTTTATCCGTTTTCGTGTGAAAACATGAATGAAAGAAAACGCAGGACCGTACTGATGATTTCAAAATCATGCATGATTTCAAGGTCTGCATGATTTCAAAATCATGCAGACCTTTATCAATTTTAAGCTTTATTAATTTTAAGCGGCTACATTATCCATGACAAACTGCAAAGAATGAAGATAGTACCCACAGTTTCCTGCAAATTATCCTAATTATCCAATATATAGTTAATTAAATACGCCTTCTCCCCGCATTTAGTACTATCAAGTTGTCAATTTCGACATGCTAAAACGCTATTTTCTGACCATCAGAATTCTGTCAAATCTTCCCCAAAGTCCAGGAAATGGCATTTCAGGGACTCTAGATTTAAAACTTCCTACGGCTCTGAAACGCTACGGAAACGACACCGTGTGGATTGAGGGCCTGTCACACTATTGCGTATGAGAGAAACGTATGAGAAGCGTATGAAAATTAATGAAAAAATTTTTATACGCACAAAAATCCTTTGAAATGCCAGCGTATGAGTACCGTACATCTGGCGTACCTCTAGCGTATTCAGCGTGTGCCTAGAGTATGTTTATCGTATAAAGCATACGTCCGATACGCACAAAATTTTTGAACATGCTTAAAAAAAATGTTCTGCCTCGCCGTATGCCAGCGTATGCCATCGTATGCGACCGTGCTTGAAACGTATACAACCTATGCCTGACGTACCCCTGGCATAGCGTATGTCAGCGTATACCGGCGTATGAGTGATATTTTTCATACGCTGGCATACGCTAGTACGATACGCAATAGTGTGACAGGGCCTTTAATAATAGTTAGGATGAGGGGTCAAAAAAAATTTCAGTAAAAAAAATAGGGGGTCATAATTTTTTATCAACTTTTCTCTTGGGGGTTCCAAGTTTTAGCATGGAATTAGACATCAGTTCCTCCGGCCCACTCCAGCTAAAAAATGAATGCTCCCTTAGCACTTCTGATAGTTCTGATTTGACTTTACTGCTGAAATGGTGGGATTTGTTTAAATTTTGCGTATTAAAGTACTATGTTGACTAAGTCTAAAAATGTAAAATTTTAAATTTATTAAGTTAAGTCACATAAATAAAGTCAGTACCATTAGAAAGTTCGCAAAAAGGTATATAATATAATCGACTATGAAAATCATATTACTCGCTTCAATGTCTTATACATACATTTTTCTAGTGCGAACTTTCTAATGGTACAGATTATTTTTGGTAAAAGTAAACATGAAAATTTACATTTCTAGTCAACATTGTACTTTAATAAGCCAAATTTAAGTTGCCGACACGCTGTATACAGTCTTGCTCACCAATGTTTGAACTATAAGAAAGACCCCCCCCCCCCTCTAGTAGTGTCCAGCACCCCCTTGAAGAAAACTCTGGTATTTCATATTTGAGTTGCGAATGCTATTCTGATTATACTGAAACGCGAGAAAATATTCAAACACCAATACGGCGGGTCACTATATGACGTAGCAGTTTTCTTAATTTTTAATTTTTTCGAAATACAAGTACTGTGAGAACAAATTCAAGGAATAAACGTATTTTTCAGAATACAGGAATGGCATTTCAGGGCTTCGGATTTCAAACATTTTCTGGACGAGAATCCCCGCGGACGCCCGTAGTAATGCGCCCCCTCTGGAAAACCTCTACCCTCTCTAACAAATCAGGCCAGATCCGCCCCTGTCTGGCACATTTCTAACTAGGTTTTGGCTGGCCGTCTATCATAACATCGCGTATTATAGTGATTGGGTTAATAAAAATTTTCGCTTTAGGTAAAGTGCCTTAACTGTGGAGAAGAAAATCCATCGTGGATCTATGTAACACTTGAGGTTTGAAGAACGTACTCGAACAAAACACAATAATTATTTTATAAACTCTGTAAGGCTAAGCCAGGTCCACAATAGATTTCGCAGGATACTGTATATTTTGGTAACGGGAAACGGCATGCAAGGGAGAAAAACTTGATTTCCAGTACCATTGTAGACCTTCGTACACTTGGCATTTTCCTAAGAGCGCCAGCATACTCAGATACGCATTGGGCATTAAATATGGAACGATGGGATAGACTTTTATTACTGTTTATTTCACTTGCCCCCAACGGACTCGTTTCCATGTTTTACCATCGCAGGCACACATGAAGGTTCTATCCCCATGTTTCTTGCACGAATATGTTTGTCTTTGCCATCTTCAGCCCAACAACAAACCTATCCCTAACCCTACTGTGCACGAAAAACGAGGAAATAACCGCATGAAAACGAGGCCATTGGGTCAAGAGTGCAATAAACAATGCAGTTTATTAATTTGACAGATTTGAAAACAAAGTTACGAGTTACAGTAATATACTACTATTGAATATTTTGTCAAACCTGACTTTCATTTACTTTAATATTTCAGGAAAGTCAAGCTATCAAAGGAAGCAGAGGAAATGCAAACTTTGTTACACATTGTAAACTTTGTGGAAGACAGAATTCATTAGGTACCTAGAGGGAATTAAATTACGTATCACGCATAAATTATACAATAATTCCGTATTCAGTTTACTCTACCCGACAAAAAAAAGACAAACGTTTGCTAATTTCACTCAATTTTCATCCAAATTTAAACAATTTGTCCTTGCTCCATTAGTCCCACAAACTTTCATACTAATACGTTTGATGTTTTTAACAAACAACGCGCACGCACGCACGCAAGCAAGCACGCACGCACGCACGCACGCACGCACGCACGCAAGCAAGCAAACAAACACACACACACACACACACACACACACACATACAACTACAAACGCGGATGAAAACATGTCCTCCTGGCGGAGGTAATTAATGGAGAGTTACTCAAGGGGGTTATTATACTCACGTCCAATGCACAGTTCTGTTTTAATCAGGGCATTTTTTAACTATATAACTGGGGGGGCCAAAGCCCCCCCAGCCCCCATGGTGGCCCCCCCACTCAACCATTTTGGCCCCCCCAGTCAAAGTCCCTTTTCTCTAAAATATAAGCAAAACATGGAATTTAGAAGGGAGGTTTGATATTCTAGTAACTGAAATTTGCGTTGTGAATCTTATGTCCTGTCTTTTATGTTTAATAAATACCTAACCTGATACTCAGGTTAATAAATACCTTATTAGATTTTAAACATTTCCCAGGCATGGATTGCATTTCCCAGACCCTATAGATTTGAGTTGTTGGACAAGTTAGTGACCGCAGGGGGCAACAGGCCCTCAACCAAGTGTTTTATAAGGGGGGGGGGATAATTTTGGCCCCCACCAAAAAAAAAACAATTTGATTTCGAAACTAGAAGTATTTGAAATCATTATACATATAATCAAATATCTGTAATCGATATTTTGATAAAATTTCTCGTAATAATCCATCCTGACTCGCGGATATCATAGACTCACAAATCATAATGAACGAATTAATGAAAGGGCCAAACAAAAGACGTATAGAAGACTTTGAAAATGCCATTTCCGATGATTTAGAGACGCAAAATTTTCAAAAATTTTCCGCTCTGTGCCAACCATGGTGGCGCTTCGTGGGAGTCGGGAACTCTAAGTTTATCAAGCTGGCTCCCTAAGTGACGGCCAAGTTGTGGTATCTACATAAACATACTATGCAAGTACTTAACTGAAGGTTCAGTCTATCTACAGCATAATGTAATGCTGTATATCCAAAAATCTGTTTCAGAAAATGCAGGAAATTGCAGCCATAGGGGTAGAAAAATACAAAAATTTTCTGGGGGAGAAAACCCCAGACCCTCTCCAGTCATTCATTTTTCAAAATCATGCAGACCTTTATTATTTAATCCATGACAAACTGCAAAGAATGAAGATATTACCCATACTTTCCTGCAACTTATCCAATATATCGTTAATTAAATACACCTTCGTCCATTTAGTACTACTGAATTCTAAATTTCCACATACTAAAAACGCTGTTTTCTGACAATCAGAAATCTGTCAAATCTTCCCCAAAGTCCAGGAAATGGCATTTCAGAGACTCTAAATTTAAAAATTTCCTCGGGCCTTCGGCCCTCGCTTTCAGCCCCCCCCCCCCCTCCAAAACGAAAAGAGCTTCCTACGGCCCTGCTCTCCCCCCCCTACTATTAAATGCGATACCACACCAAACTTTTTGTTACCAACAAACCATCTATCATTGCTCCACACTCGGTATAGTATGGTCCCTTTTTGTAGATGGCCCCCCCCACTGACGAATTCTTAAAAAATGCCCTGGTTTTAATTTGCCTGTTTTTTCTCTCTTTATAGATATCATGAAAGACTCCATTTGTTCATACAGAGTATGTAATATACAGTATAATAAAATTTCTTTCATCAAATTTAGTTTCAAAACTGCACTTCTAACGTGCCTTTGTGGAGGTGTTTTAATGTTGATTATGCTTCGTAAAGCTAAGTTTACACGCTACGATTTGTCGTGTACGATTCGTATTCGCCAGTATTAAAATGAGTGCTGGCGCCATAATTCATTGCCGTTTCGTTAAAAAGAAATTTCGAATGTAGCCAGCTTACGCGTGTTTACTCAATGACATACGCCAGAAAACGAATCGTACACGATTAATCGCAGCGTGTAAACGTAACTTTAGCCATTTTAAGCCATTCCGAACCAAATTTTAGCTCGAGGTTTATGCTATATTGAACATCGCACTAATAAATATTTAACATTTTTCCAGATTCAGGACAACAACACATTTAAAAGTATTGTATCGTTTGACTGTCGTGGACTGGAACCAACTGATTTTTCTCCCCGAGTAAGTGGAAACATAAGAACTTTTTAAATTTCTTTCAATATACTCTTTCGGTAATTACGTCATATTTCCCCTTGGCCTGCGATGTCCCTCATTCTCGTGAATGAAGAGCCAATCGCCTTTTGCCTCGATTCATGAGAGGGAAGTTCCTGACACTCCCAGGTCAAAGAAGTAGTAGCGATGTAATTATTGAAGGGTTTATTTTGCATCATGTTTGTGGAAGTAAGATTCGTTTTATATAACATAATTTTATATGTGTTACATCTACAATCTCCGATAATAATGTGACACCTATTGTAGGGATTCCCCCCCCCCCTGCCCCTACTCAATGTTGGTAACTCATGAGGTTTTCACTACACTGGGAGACAGGACTTACAAATAACATATGGGTAGTGTCACGGTTTTGTCTGAGGTTGTAGTTCCTTTGCTTTAGTTTTCTTTGAACTACCGAACCATTTTGACGTTCCCAGTGAAGCTCTTCCTTAGTCTACGCTGCTTTAATCTAAAACCTCCCGATGAGCAGTCTTCGCTCGAAACTCCAAATTTTTTTCCAGTGAGCTCCATATATATCTGGAGTGAGAACTCGAGTCCAAAAAGTAAAGCCGAAGATGGAGGTATTGGACGTCAGTTTTAGTCCCTTTCTATTGTTTTTGTCTGCGCGGTCTGCAAGGAGTGTGCCGAAATTTCGTATTTTACATCGATTTAAATAATATAATGATGGTTTTATGAACTGATGACTTAATTAGCAATACGGTCCGTTGGAATTGGCTGGGAAAATGACGTCAATTCAAATTCTTCATATTTTCTTTTAGGGCTGAAGTTCTAGGTTCAGATACATATATACAGAGATCACTTTTTTCATCTTAAACTATTTCACTAATCACTGCAACCCTTTCTCGAATCCTACACTAAACCCATATTTTTCAGATGTAAACAGACAATTTCATGTATTTTCTAACGGCAGATAATTTTAGCAAGAATGATTGATGTCCCCGCAAATGATATGCGAGGATAGAATAATTATTAATGTTTCTCCAGGTTGGTTTTGCTGCGAAAGGAGCTGAAAGCGAAACAAAATTTCCAGATATCAACTTAACTGAAAAGGTAGCACATAAAAATGCATTTCAACCCGTTGTTGTTAAAATATCCCGCCCACACGGGACCCTCTTATTGGATATACATCAATATATAAGACACCCGCCTTATGGTTCTCTCCACTTGACGCCACTCAGCCAATCTCGTGCCCAGAGCATGCTCATTCGCAGGCTCATGGACCTCGGCGCCTCGCAATGAAAAAAGATACTTTAATTTATAAATACTAAAGTTTAATCAGGGTTATACCAATCAACAGACAATTTTATTAACCTTGAAAAATCACTATCCGATGGATATGGCGCTTTCTAGCCTTCGTACAACCGGCCCCAGATGTAGAGTTGTCCAGGATGAATAAATTTAGAAATAGGAGCAAACGTTTACTGAAATACATAAACATGTTCTGTGTTATAGATATAGGGTCTGTATATTATGAGAAGAAACGGGATTATTTTTGTTTCTATAGGAATGGGCAGAGTATGATGAAAGTGCACAAGAAGCTGTTGGGATTTACGAAGTAACACATCAATTTGTTAAGCTCTAATTGAAAATCGGTGGAATAGAATAGGATTATTAAGAAATATATTTATTAAGTAATGTTGTCATTGAATGTTTTACATTGAATTTTTAGAACAAATAAAATTGTGAAGTCTGAAGATATATAGCTGACATAGATTGTTGTCTCTTATTTCACACTTGTTAGTCCTTTATTTAAAACCCACAGCACGTTTGGGGAGGGGCCTGGGGGTGGCAAGTCCTCCCGAGCCCCCATATCGCCCCGTTTCCAGTGAAGATGGATCCCTTTTGTCTAAAGTATAAGCAAGAAAGCATAGAATGACTTCACTAAGAAGAGTGCCATTTTTTGATATTCTACAACGAAACCCAGGGCCTTTTTTAACATACAAGCTGGGGGGCATTTACCCCCTTATTAAATTGTTACGTTTTTCTAACACTGAGTAATGATAAATTATTGTTAATAATTTTTTTATTTTTGTGTGTTTTTTCTTTCTTTTATTTCAAATACAAGTATAGTTAGCATAAATTTTAGAGCAAATTTGGATGCTCGGAATGCAGGAAATGGCATTATTTCTGCACTTCAAATTTAAAAAATTTTAAAAAGAGCCTCTATTCATGCATGGTATGTCGGCCACGCTGGCCCACACACGTGGTTTTCGGCCACTGATATCCCTCTCTAATATATTATCTCACGGAAATTATCAGCGACTCATACCTAATTACGCTACTGTTGCTTAACCTTTAACGAAACTCACTGCAAAGGCGTACAGCAATGTCGTTTGGACTGATGAATTTACTGTGACCTTTGAACAACTTAAACAATTACTTTGCTCCGTAACAATACTATGTTACCCACGTCCCACCTACTAATGGTCCCCAAGTCCCACTGTCCTATTAACGGTTCCCAAGTCCTACCTACTAATTAAATGTCACCAAGTCCCACTACTCCCACCTACTGACGATATCCAAGTTCCACCTACTAACGGTACCCAAGTCTCACCTACTAATTAATGGTCCCCAAGTTCCACCTACTAATGGTCAACAAGTCCCACCAACTAAACTCCCCAAGTCCCACCTACTAAACTCCCCAAGTCCCACCTACGAATGGTCCCCAAGCCTTCCCTTATCCAGAAATGGTCACATTCCATCAACTGTGAACTAGGATAAGATTCCTTGCTGAGGCATTTGGAACATTCCAAAAAGGATGTGAGAGTAGGTAGAACTTGGCAAGATGGCATCGCAAACTGTGAGAAGGTGTTATATGCAAACACATGAGCATAACGAGCCCTGCACTTATTGTACCCCAGACCGGACCTTGTTTCAACACCAAAACCATAAATACACACTTCTTGAATTTTCCTGACACAAAACAATATCTTGAACTTGAGGTAAACAATGTAATCCATTGAAAATAAGTAGTTTTCATTGCCAGCAAGCAAAGTGTCTATTGGCTGATTGAAATCGTAGTATGTGCACCCAGCTTTAGTGAAACCCACATGCAACTATACCATAAATATTGATGGGCTTACATATGGGAGGGCCTAATTACGGGAGGGGGGCTTATGTACAGACAACATTTAATGTTAGTAATAATACTTATTGTACCTGTAAACTATACCGTGAACGAAAAGAAATACAAACATACACTGTATAATTATAATCCACACATTACAATACTGTAATTTAATTATTGTCACTCGTCTGAGCTGTTGGAATCACTGTCACTTTGTTAATTAACCAATGGGCTTAGACATGGAGGGGCTTATATTCAGGGGGGCTTATACTCAGAATTGCCTGGGTGTTAGTGAATAAGGTGGACTTATACACAGGGGGGGCTTATACTGGGGAGAGGGGGGTTATAGTCGGAGGTTTACGGTATATTACTATCAAACATTACACATTCAAAAAAAATAATGGGCCGAGAATTGATCCTTGTGGCACGCCACATGTAATTGGGCTATAAGAAGAACAAGAACTTTTGTAACAAACAAATTGAAATCTATTTGCAAAATAGTCATGTATCCAATCTAAGGCCAGACCACGGATCCCATAAAATTCAAGTTTATCGAATAGAGAATACCATGGTTAACCGTGTCGAAAGCCTTAGAAAGATCAAGAAAAACACCTACAGTATATTTTTTGTCATCAATAGCAGCAGAAATTTGATCGACCAAATTAATCAGTGCAAGAGAAGTTGAATGGTTTCTTCTGAAACCATATTGATTATCAACTAATATCTTATTTGCATCCAAATAATTAATTATTCTGCAATAGACAGTTTTTTCCAAAATCTTGGAAAAGACTGGCAATATTGAAACAGGTCTATAATTAGATATTATTTTTCTCTCTCTCGACTTGAACAGTGGAATCACTTTAGCAATTTTTAACTTATCAGGTACAATAGCGGAATCCAAAGATATATTTACAATATGAGTTAACGTTTTGGATATTAAATTAATTGAATTTTTAATTGACCAAATGCAAATATTGTCATGACCTGAGAAAGTGCCAACACGAAGAGAACCAACGATGGAAGTTATTTCTTCCTCTGACACCGGACTCGAAAAAAATGGAGTTAAGATAGTTTCCATGTAAATACGATTGATGAGACTGGCTAGGGAAAGGTATTTTGTCGGCTAAATTTGGTCCAATGCTCGAAAAATACTTACGGAAATGATGTGCAATCAACAATGGATCAGAAATGTCCTTATTATTAATAGAGAATATTTCAGTAAGTGTGTTTTGCTTTTTTTCCTATTTAATACTTCATTAAGTACACGCCATGCTTTCTTTATATCAGATTTTACACATTCAAGCTTAGTCTCGTAATAAAATCGTTTAGCATTTTTTAATAATTTAGTTAATTTATTCTTATATGCCTTATAAAGTGTTTCATTTTGCGCAGTAGGAAATGAAAGATATTTCGTATAGAGTTTATTTTTTCTTTTAATAGATTTAAGGAGACCATTAGTGACCCAAGGTTATCTTGAATTAAGTTTCGATGACTTTATTTTCTTCAGTGGGAAAGAAGAATCGTAAATAGCAGTAAATTCATTAATGAAGCTATCATAAGCCATTTTGGGATCATTATAGCCCGGAAAATTTTCCCAAACAGTCTCATTTAGCTGATTGTGAAATTTTATCAGATTAGTCTTGCTTTTATCTCGGCTTATTCAGAATGAGTGTGTATCTAAGGGTGATGATGCAAAACATGGAATGCAGACGCCTTTGTTTGAAAATAATTTTGTTGCCGATATACCAGTGGGACGATTCATGCTGCAGATGATATCACTGTCGTCAATGTTCTGCCTTGACCCAGTCAGAGCCAGCACTCTCCCCTCTACGAGCAAAATCATCTGGTGTTAGACAAAGTATTAAATTATTAAGCAATTCAGTGTGTTAACCCATTAAGTTGCATTGCACCCCAGTGAATGTGCCCTTAGGCTACTTTATTATTTTACTAGATCTGTCTAAACACCAGATGATTTTACTCGTCAGGGGCATGGGTTAATTTTTTCAGAAATAATGGCACTTTACGTCATATTTAAAAACAGCAGGGCTGTAGCTAGACGCTGCAATGGGGGGGGGGGGGGG